CTCTCTCCTGGGTGGCAAACCGGGGCACACGTAAGTGTAATGGTTGAACAACACGAAGAACCTCAGGTAACGCCCCTGAGCTGTCCTTGTGAAAAATGTTGAGATGACAGATGTTCCATTCCAATAATAATAATATAAATGGATTTGTGGTATTTAGGCCTAAGGTTGTGTTTTTAAATTGAGGTGGCATCTCTACTTTATTATTTTGAGCCAGTTAGATTAACAACTTATAATTTACTTTCACACCTTAGTATGTAAAAACAAGTGTATAAAGCCACATCTTGTCAGAATCAGATTGACAGCTATTATTGGTGCCAATTCCCACTCCAGTTCAGGGACACAACCGCCTTTTATCTAGGCCAGAGCATGAGTAGACCTAGAATGAAGACAGATCTGTCATGTCAGCTCTGTCGTTTGCTTCTGTGACGGGGACTGGTCCCACATTCCACCCCGTACTCAAGCCTGGGCCTCTCTGTCACCGCCACCACCACCACCATCAAATCTTGGTCATTCTTCCTTAGACAGCTTCAAACCTGTCTCTCTAGGGCAGTGGTTCTCGACCTTCCTAATGCCTCGACCCTTTAATACAGTTCCTCATGTTGTGGTGACCCCCAACCATAAAATTATTTTCATTACTACTTCCGAACTGTAATTTTGCTACTGTTATGAACCGGGCGACCCTGTGAAAAGGTTGTTCCACCCCAAAGGGGTCAAGACCCACAGGTTGAGAACCGCTGCTCTAGGGGCTCTGCCATTGCTTGGTGGGAGCCACCATCACCGCTCATGGGATTTCTGCGGTGGCTTCTGCGTCCCAGCTCTGCTCTTCCTTTCCTCTGTTTGGTTCTCCCACAAAGCAGGCAGAGCATGGTTTTCAAATGTGCGCCTGGATGATGTCTACCTCGCTCTCGCTCTCGCTCTCTCTCTCACACACACATACACACCTTCAGCGGCTGTCAGGATCAACACTGCGACACTGGAATCTCAAACACACCAGGGGTCATCAGATTTTCTTCAGCTCTCCCTCGCTGCCCTCATTTAAGCCTCTCTTCTTGATGATGCTGGAAGTTTCATTTCCAGTGATTGAGTCTTCCTGTCCCTCACTGATTAAGTCCTACTGTCTCTCTGGTTCCAGCTTGCACCTCACTTCTTCGGGGAAGCCTTCCCTGGGCCCCCAGCGAGGGAGGATGCCTCTGGCAGTTGGCATGTCTCGTGTCGTGATTATTGGTGAATGCTGTGTCAGTGTTTCTTGCCCCACACACAGACAGGGACTTCCTGGCAGCAGAGGCTCTGCTGCCATGCTGACTACAGCACCCCCCGGCACTAGGGCATCATGAGCATCTGTTTGAATGTGTGGGTATCTGTACCGCACACATCCTTCTCAGCTGATTGAGACACCCCCAGACTAAAACAGAAGTATCAAATCTTCAGGTTTGGAAATACTCAAATACCAGCTTGCAGCCATATATGATCTTCAGTATAGATGATCATCATCCCAGACTATGCCAGCTAGTTGGTAACTGGTCATTGATTATTTTAAATATAGTCTTGAAGATGAGAGAAATGAAGCCGGGAAGGGGGGGGGGCGGCACTTATGTAGGGGTCGTGATTTGGCTAGAAGCGCAGTAGTGTTATCAGTGGTGTGCAGATGTTCAGAATCTGGAAGTTGGACTCAGATTAACCTGACTCACCAGTCACTGAAGGATAGCCAGAACCCCAGCGCTGCCCGTAAACGTATGGGGTGCAAAACCAATTGTCGGGCAAACCAGGATCCTAGTGCCTGCTCTCTCTGCTGTGCAGAGCCTACCTACGAAGCATGATTCCACTCGCAGGGTTTGGGGACGTGAGGTTGTGGTCAAGAGGACCTGGGGTCCAAATCTACGTCAGATGATGACACCCTGCATTAATTGAAGACAAAAGAGCAAGAAAACAGCGTCTAAACAATGCCTCCTGCGCAGGCTGCGCCCCTCCCCTGCTTGCCGTTCAGGTCTTTCTGCATCCTGAAAGGGATTTGTGCGTTTCGTAAATCATGGCCTTGTTGGTCAGAGTACTTTTGCTGTGGTCCCTGAATTCCCATGGAGGTTGCACCCGTCTTTCCTCACAGTTTCCATCCTGTTGGTGGAAGTCAGACTGAATGGTGGCAAGTACAGCATGGCAGAGCCGTGAACGTGTGTTTAAATTAGGTGACGGCTCCTCACATATGAGATAAACGTATTTGATGTTGCAAAGGCATAGCTAATTAAATAAAGTAAATAACACTCCTTGAGGATGAATTGACATTTGTGAGAAAGCAAAATACTTTTTAAAGAAAATAAATTGCTTAAGAAAAAAATAAAAGGGGGGAGCCACCACCAGAGAGCGTAAAAGCAAACCAATGGTGAACTCAGAGAGGAAAACATGCCTTTTTGACAAGTTTGCTTTGGAATAGTCACTTGTCATAAAGCTAGAGATTTAAACAAATCAAATACGATTTATTGTCAAACAAACAGGTCACAGGTAACCACCCAAAGGGGAGGGAAGTAGTTATCTGAAAATCTGCCATCAGCTCCCAAACAATCCTGAGCTGCTTCAAGACAGATCCTTTGTTTACAAAGATTACCTCCAATCTTTAATGCATTCTCAAAGAGAAGTGTGAAGGTTTAAATGTGCCTAAAATGTACGCAACGTCACTGCGTCACTGTAGGAGGCGCACCGTCTGTGAGAAGCGCTGTGACTTGACAGACTCGCTTGGGGCCAGTCTGTTTCCTCCTAACAGCCGGTCTGCCCCTCCTGCCTTGTCTCATCTCTGTTGCAAGAAGGCATCATGAAATCAAACTGTGGCAAGCCGAGTCAAAATACCCTCTCCTGATTTTTTTTTTTTGGGGGGGGCCGCTGCTGCTGTTGAAACGTCCTTCGGCAATTCTAGAGAAACGCAGGCCCGTCTAAGGGAAGCCCCGGGAGTCCCTTGCACTGCTGCCTTCCCCTGTTTGCCAAAGGTCAAACTCATCCCACTCGGTGCTGTCACGCCTTTTCACAAGCACACCTTCATAGCGTTAAATCGATATGTTGCCATGCAACAATACAGAAACAACGTAATAAAATGAGTGTATAATTTAGCAAAACACTATTTAGTGAGATGGAATCCCAAGCGCAGACCATTAAGCAAGCCCTCAACTACCAGCAGGAGGGTTGTCGGGCCAACCCTCCCTAGAGACACCTCGGACAGGTATGCTCAGCACTCGGGGTCACTGGGAGTCAGAATAGACACACACACACACACACACATACACACACACACCACACACAAACACACCACACACACACACCACCACCACCCCACCCCTGCGGCCTATAGAGCAGTGTATAACTGCTCCTTGGGGTCTGCTACATTTTAAATCTTTACAGAAGAATACAGCCTTGTCTTTCTCCTGCAGAGCCGCTGGTGGGTTTGAACTGACAACCTGTGGTTAGCAGCCTGAGGCTTATCCCATTGGGTATCATAATTTGTTACAGGAAATGTTTTAAAATCATCGTGCCTAATATTTAGATGAAGTTATTTTTTTCAAATATAAGTTTTCCCTTCATTTCAACAAATCTGACCTTTCAGCTTGATAAGGTGGCTCTCTCTCCAGCTTCATTTTTATAAGCATCTATACTTTTCTCTGAACTAATACCATCTTGGTGTGGCCTTTATTACAGTGCCATGGAAACTTGGAAACCTTCCACATTGTGCATAACTGCAGGCATAAATTTATCCCAAATGTTAACGGGAAATGGAGCCAAAGGCTCCATTCTGCGGGGCCAGAGCTCACATCCCACCGCCCTCAGGAGGAGTTGGTCTTCCCCTGCTGGCCACCAGACAGTGGATGCAGACAGAGCTACAGACTAACGTGTCCTTTTAAATAGATTGTGTCCATCTAAATCGTGTTCCCAACACAGCCCCCTAATATCCAAGAAGGCTAGTCCATCGTCAATGAAGTGTTTGGTTGATGTTTAGGGTAGCCTGAGTTGGCTAGGCTCTGTGGAGTCTTGGCCAGGATCTGTAACAGGTGTGTCTCCACCATAATTCCAGTCTAATTGTGGCCACCTGATTTACTGAGCACCTGCTCTGCAGAGTCCAGAAGCTGAGCCGCTGCCCTCCTCTCCGCGGTACGCGCTTTGTTATCAGACCATCTGGGTGAGTGCAAAGTAGAGATTGGAAAGCTTTGACCTTCCCTGCATTTCCAAGTTTCTACTCTCCTCCTGGAATGCTCCTGAGGACAACATATTCTACTGCCTCCTCAACATCTCCTCCCTCATCTCTCATGCTTCAGCTACCCCTGTTCCAGGTGCTAACCACTAAGAACAATGTTGTGAGAAGAAATCGCTTCATCATTTTGTCAGCTAGCGCTTTAGACTCATAGATACTAAGGGCCTGAAGATGCTAACGGCCTTCACATCATTGGTTGGCTGGCTGGCTGGTATGGACTAGAGGGGAGTGGCATAAAGAAACCAAGCAGGGATTGGCCCCTCTGGGAATTTGCTTCAGAGATCAGGAAAGGGGTTTCGGGGCACAATGAGAAGGAGCCTCGGGACTGGCAGCCATTGGTGTGAACAAAGAGTGGTCAAGGGCTAAGGAACTGCCTTGATCAGATGCTGCCTAATTTCCTGCCCACGTGTCTGTCCTCATGTGGCTGGGGCACAGGGAGTTAGAGGGTTAACTAACCTGTGCCCGATGGTCTGTGTAACTAGCTAAGAATCGTGGACTAATTAAGATAAGGAAATGTAAATATGAATGAGAGCGATTCTGGAGATCAAAGAAGATGAGTTGCATTTACTAAGGGGTATGACTGTTGCTTGTATTCATGGGAAGAGTGGCGGTGGCGGTGGCGGGGTTCCACATTTCTGCCAGGAGTGCTGCTGTGGGGCCTGGCGTTGGGGTGGGGTGGGGGTAGGATTCTGGCAGTCTCTCAAGTTGGCACAGAGACTACAAAGCCCTCCTGTCCGCGGAGAAGTCATTGTTCCTGTCTTCCTTCTCTGACTAGGTGCTGGACTGGATTGAAAACCATGGTGAGGCCTTTCTCAGCAAACACACTGGGGTTGGGAAGTCCCTGCATCGAGCCCGGGCCCTGCAGAAGAGGCATGATGACTTTGAAGAAGTGGCTCAGGTGAGAAGGAGGTGGCGGTGGTGTGTGTGTGTGTGTGTGTGTACACAGACTCCCAGCTTGTCTTCAAAGAAAATCTTTTTAGCAGCATGATCTGAAAATGCCTTGTCCACCAGGGAGTGCTGACGGGAAGGACTGACTAGTTCAGAGACATCATGACCCCAGGGCTGCTGCTTTGATCAGGATTCCTAGTGTGGTGGTTGCAGTGTTGGGCTGTTGTCTGTTGGGTCGGCAGTTTGAAACCTCCAGCAGTGTAATGCACAATTGCAACAGTGTTCACTCTGCTCTCTGAGAGATGCTGTATGAGAAGCCCCTTACCACTGATCTTAATCTAGGGGGATTTCTGCTCCAAGCCTCTAACTTGAAACTTTTACCCCAGCTCCCTTCTGTTCCTCTGGTGGGAAGTGCTTCCAGATGGATTGTGAAAGTCCTCGTAGCCCAGATGCAGTACTGCTAGCCAGCTAATTTTGTCCGCTCACACCCTTGTGTGCCATCGATCGCAGTGGACAATTAAACTCTTAGGAATCAATTGGGCGGGGAGGAGGTTCTGGGCAGGGCGTCAAGATGAGACTGAGAGGCAGGTGCTGCTAGAGGTGCAAACATGACCAGGCCAGGTCGTGCTCTAGCCTGGGCCGACTCCCAGCCCACTGTACGGCAGACCTCAGTGTGGGCATCCCATCAGGGATCGTGCTTACACCAGGACCTCACCTAGGGAAACCAGCAGTCCCAGCCGTCCCAGATCGAAATGTGCTCTAGGGGGGAAAGGAAGGGGCCAATCGAGGACCAGCTGGACCTGCCAGAGGCCAGGCATATGGTGAGAGCACAGCCACACCCCCAGGGGAGCTTCAGCTAGATCGCTGCAGAGGGAGAGGCGCCACGGGCAACAGAAAGACAGCGCCCACAGTGACTGAGCCCAGTGACTGGACCAGTCTGTGAGAGGAGAAGCACCTCACGGTCTCACGGAGGCTTCCTCAGAATGAGCAGGATTTCCCCAGCATTATGGAGATACGGGTCCCATTGTGTCTCCTGATGGAGAGGGTGTAGCTGAGACCCCAAATCTCTGGGCAGCAGGGCATCCTGGGTGCTTCTCCAGCCTGCTGGGGTCAGTTTGGGAGAAAGCCACAGGTGTACCCTGTCTTCTGAGAGGAGGGTGTGGGTGGGGTTCAGTCCCTGGGCAGTTTCTGTGCTGCTGGAATCGAGCCATCCCACATGCTTGCTGCTCCCTGGAGTAGTAGTCCCCTCCCTGGTGCTCCTGCCTCTGAGGTGTGCAGTGCTCAGTCCCTCCTCACGTAGCAAAGTTGTCTCCAAAGTGACACCAGCCGTGGTTCCGCCTGTTCTCATTACTCTGTGTCATCTGTAGTCACAGGGGCAAGGCCATGGCTGCTTTGGCTGCAGGCCCAGGAGGCGGCGGTCATCTGTGTGTGGTATTACAGCCAAGCAAGCTTGATGGCCTTGCTGAAGCCCACCCCTCCGCTTGCCCCTGAGGGAGACCTGCTCAGTGATGCTTGGATATTCCTCTCACATGAGACCATGTCTTTCATTCAACCATAGAAACATATTAGCTTAAATTCATAAGGGTTAGATGGACACATTGTGTTTTTTTCGGTAATAGTTTTGTTGTTGTTTTGTCATATCTTACACGATCCATTATATCCATTCACATACAATTCTGTTGTTTGATCCCATTGAGTGGGATTATACAATCATCAATGCTATCAGCTCTCCATTCCCCACTTCCTCCCCTTTCTCTTCCCATACCCTCAGGGAACCATTACTCCTGTTACTGTTTCTGAAGGGTTATCCATCTTGACTTTCATGTACCGAATGATCTTAAATATACAAATGAACCTATGCAAATCTAACACGATTAATGAGGTAAAACAAATAAAAACCATAATAGTAAATGGAAGAAATACTAAAAAACTAGAGAATAGTTATGTGGTTCATCAGTACTATATCACACCCTGGATTAATTTTCTCTTCCGTGTGACCCTTCTGAGAGAGACTGTCCAATTATCTTATGGGTGGGTTTTGGGTCTCCACTACATCCATGCCCCTTCGCATTGATTTGGTTGCTTGTTTTTGAACCTCTAATACCTCTGCCCATCAACACCTCATGATCACACAGGGTGGTGTGCTTCCCTGGTACTTTGTTGCTTCCCTGGTAGGTGGCCCCTTGTTTTAACTACAAGCCTTTAAGACCCCAGATGCTGTATCTTTTGATAGTCAGACACCATCAGCTTTCTTCACCACATTTGCTTATGTACCCATTGTATCTTCAGCGATCATATCAGGAAGGTGAGTATCATACAATATATTAGATATATACATATGTATCTATCTATATCTATATATAGATATACATAATATATTAGAATCAACCGTTCTTGTACTAAGCTAAGATTTAAGTAGAGGCCCAAAGTTGGATAGACACATTTTTGAGAGCTTACAGTTACATTACCTATTTTATCTCACGCCAATTCTGATTGATAGATAACGTGTCATCGCCACTGTGTTAGTCTACTTGGAGGTGCTGAGGCTCAGAAAGGTGTGCACTGTGCCCAAGGCACTAGCGCATGGCTGCTTTGCTGAGACTTAGACCCAAGTCTCTCTGCCCTCAGAGTCATGTTCTTATTATGTGCAGGTCTTTCTTGTGGAGGTACAGTAAAAGCAGTTGCCGTCAAGTTGATTCTGATCATGGCAACCCCATGGGGGTCAAAGTGCAACTGTGCTTCAGTGGACCCTTGGCTGTAATCATGGAAGCAGGTTTCCAGGCCTTTCTACCCAGGGAGTGCCTTGGAGTGAGCCCAGCCCTCCAGCCTCCTTGTTTTCAGGGAGGCGCCTACGTCATTGGCACCAGTTTGGGGCTCCAGGGAGGTGTGGTGAGGGCAATGCAATGTATTTCTGAGTGCTGGTTGGTTCGTGGAGAAAGCAGGTCAGAGAGCAGGGCTGGAGATGGCACTGCCACCATCTTGTTTGACACTCATTGTCACCTCTTCCCTGGCCCTTCTCAAGGCCCCTGGTCCTCTGCTTTCTGATAGGAGATATCTTTGGAGGGAGAGTAGAGAATTCTCAAGTCCAAGAAGGCTCCTATTTTGCTCCGGAAAGGAGAACACCAGACATGGACCCCAAAGGGAACATCTACGCTAGAGGTCATTGCTCTGTCGCCTCACATTCCAGCTGGCCTCCCTAGAGGGGGCTTGTGGCTCGGCCCTGTGACCCCTCTCCGAGGAAAGGGACAAGCAGTGGAGCCACTCAGCAACTCCAGGTTCGACCTCAGCAAAGGCAGATGCGCTGTCGGCAGGCCTGCCTCAGAACTGGGGAGGTGGAGAGCAGGGCGATGCAGGCGAGAAAGGGCTCCCCATACCTGATAAATGATATCTGTGAAGGAGGAATGTGGGCATCCACGACATAGCTTTAACATCTAACAACTTCAGGGTTTTAAAGAGGGCCTGATGGTGAAGTGTCTGAGCGTGTGACTGCCAACCAAAAGGGCCTTGGTTGGAGCCCAACAAGAGTTGTGATGAGTGGGACCGGCTATGGCCATGGGTCTACTGTTAGCGTCAATTTTGTGTGTATTGGCTCTCGGTTTTAAACCGATTCTTCAAATGTCCTTTAACCCATTGCAGTCCGATCACTCCAGACTCTCACAGCAACCCTGCAGGACAGAGTAGAGCTGCCCCATCATTTCCACTTCTGCCATCTTTACAGAGGAGGCTTCCCGCTTTCTCCCACCATGCAGCTGGTGGGTTGGAGCTTCTCGTCTCTTTGTTAGCGTTTGAGCACTTGCCCACTGCACCCCTGCCATGCCCAAACCAAGCTTACTGGTGTGGAATCTCTTCTGATGCACAGCCACCCTGTCAGACAGCGTCAAGCGGCTCCCTGGGGTCCTGAGGCTGTAAGTCTTTTCGGTAGCAGGCCGCCTCGTCTTTCTCCCCTGGAGTAGCTGATGCATTTGACTTGCTGGCCTTTGGGGTAGTAGGCCTATGCTTAATGCACAGGCCCAGCAAAACTGAACTAAACCCACTGCCACCGAGTTGATCCTGATTCAAAGCAGAATAGAACTTCTCTGAGAGCCTCTTCTGTCTGCCAAGGCGTGACTGGTGGGTTGGAACTGCCAACCTTGTGGTCAGCAGCCCAATGTCCCACCCACAGCTTCACTAGAGATCCTGCCTGAGTCACCAGGGCTACTTGGATTTCATTTGAAGATGAAATAAATGATGAGTCCTTGGTTCATCCTGCAGGTGGCACTCATTGAACAGAGTACTTTACAGACTGGACTGGACGGGAAAAAGAGCCGCAATTGTGACAGCCTCTGGGGACCCACCAGCATGCAGGCCATGTGGGTCTGGGGCAAAGCCGTGCACCAGGGGCTCTACTTCTGCTGGACTCCTGGTCCAAGCTGTTGGCATTGTCTGTGATCAAATAGGAGATATGGGCACTGGCAGGAATCCCTCCTGGGTCTGGTAAATACTTGTCGCAACTTGCCCGTGAGCTTATGACCTCTGTCATGCCACGGGGTGAAACAGGCTTTAAGAGGCATTTATTCTCGTTCTTGTTGCACGTGAGTGTCATTGGGAAGACAGACTAGACAAGATGAAGTTACTGCCTGTCATAGTAGGGCTGTCCGGGGTTCTGTGTGCCTTTGTCTGCCCAGAGGGTGGGCTGCGACGTGGTGCTGACTTTTCCTTCTTCAGCCTCCCGAGGTGCTTGCCCTTGCTCAGTACGAGAGTACTCAGGTTTAGATGGCAGCACTGCCTGCTCTGTTTTACACACACACACACACACACACACACACACAGAGATAGGTAGGTATAGATTTATATATGTATATGTTTATATAGATATAAATATAACAGATGAGACAGCGCTGCCATCTAAACATGTATATATCTTTTTATATATTATATATATGTACATATGTATATAAACTCAAAGCTAGGCATGTGAAGGAACACTAGAATAACCTTTTTGAACTGATAGCCATGTAAAGAAATACAAAA